CACGGACTGAGGGCGAGTGGATTTCAAAATGTGGCTCTCGCCTCCGCGCGGCGCACAGTCGTTGTAAGCATTTGCAGCAGTTTCACGGATTGAGGGCAAGTGGTTTTCAAAATGTGGCCCTTGCCTTAGCGCGACGCACATTCGTTTTGAGCATTTGCGAGGGCTTCACGGATTGAGGGAGGTTCCTTTTCAAAATGTGGTGCTCGCCTTAGCGCGGCGCACATTTGTTTTTTGAAAATTGCACGCGTTTGACGGATTCCCATCATCACCGTACCAGAAATGATGTTTCCGAACGATTCAGGATTACGCGGGCGTAACACTTATGTTGATTCGTGACACGATTCAGGATTGACGTTCTGGCACGACTCAGGATCGCCAAGATGCACCAGTCAGGTTGACCCGTGGCTTTGGAATCTTGAGAACAATATTGTGGCATGTTGCAGGGTCTTCAAACGGGTGTCTTCCAACGAGGCAGTTCAATCAATGGAAATGAACCGTTGTAGGGGCCTATGAAGAGGGAGTTTTGAGGGAGGGTTCATTTCAACATTGTTGATGACTCTTGGGTTTCCTCTGGTCCTCCTCCTTCTCCTCCTCCTCCTCCTCTTCCCCTCCTCCTCTCCATCCGGGGAGGTGCCATCGTCTGCTCTGCTTGGGGGGTGGTAATCGGGGTCGGAAGAAAAGTGCACTTTTCGGGCCCTGCAGGCGCGCTTCTGGGGTCGATTGATCGTTCATGACCCAGGTAAACGTTAACGAACATGGACCCCAGAAGTAAAAACTCCCAAGGGCAAGCGCTGCTCCTGGGAAAACGCGAACAAGCCCACGAGTAGGAAGCAAGCCCAGATGGCGCTGCATTGGATGGCCTACAGCAATATGATATCCAGCGCCTAACAAAATGCGGCACGCATGGGGCTCGCAGCGGAGGTGTTTGGCGAGAGTTGAAACGCCAGTACTTCAACCATGTGTCATTGCCCACGCTGGATTTCTATGATGTGCCAAGAAGCTTGCAGCGACGAGAACCGAGGACCTGCCAACGAGCCTTTTGTCGCCGCTGGCTGTGCGCCAGTTTTTCTGTTACAGCGACTGCCCTGCGTTCCCAGACGTGGCTCTTACAACCTCTCCTCGTGCATTCTCGGGGTGACTCGACCCGATCGACCCTAAGTTCATCAGTATTGATAGAAGTTAGAGTGCGGAATGACCCGAACTGGATGGAGATGCGAACGCCGATCATTTTGCCAGGATATGGTGCTCTTACTCCAACGACGGATGGTAAGATGCCGCGCGCGCGGTGGCGGCCATTTTCACTCCGCGTCCTTCCATGGGGGCATCCCGCCATTCACGTTGCACTTGCGCGTGCTCACAATGGAGAGTGATCGGAGGGATATTGCGCGTTGTCTAAACTCTGCGTCTGACGCGTGTATCTGCGTTGTACAAACTATATGTTATTGCGCGTTGTCTAAACTCTGCGTTGCACGTGCGCAGGCTGGCTCATTGTCTAAACTCTGCGTTTGACGCCATCCACCCAAGTGGGGCAACCGTGTTTCCGGGCAGAAATGCACAGGGGCAAAGCTTTTACAGGTGGAACGTAAAAAATAGGTGTTTGGTCAGTGGCGCACAATCTAGACTATGGCGCAAATGAGCTTGGATACCCAAAAGCCAACACGAACGAGCGGTGTTGCTTGGATAACTATTCCAGGGAACAAGCCAGATCAGACCCTCCAGCAGACGTGCGATCCCTTGACGCATCAGCTCTGTCAGCTCGTCAGCTGTGAAGCGCATCATCTCTGTTAGCTGTCAGCTCAGAAATTCACGGATCTGTCAGCTCGTGAAGCGCGCGCAGTGCGCATCAGTGACCATCCGAGATTCGATCACGGTGGTGTCAAGATATGTGAGCCTAGGGGCTCCCATGCACTCTGGAAAAATGGTCTTGCTCAGATGCTTCCTTGGCTCAGTTCTGGTTGTGATTATACAGTTCGGCCGTTTCAAGGGAACCATTACAAAACAGTGCGACTTGAATTTGTTCGATGATCATGTGACGTCCATATATGCAAAACTGTGCGCGACTGCTCGGATTGGTAAACGATCACCTGGCATGCGCATTGTAAACTATGACAGTTCCCCATGCTTCTCCAGGAAAGCATCTACAACACAACGCTTGCCAGTTGCATTGGAGTACTGGTATGACAACCGCGATGGAAACGACCACGGCGAGCCCGCGATGCGGGCATGTGATTGTGTCTGTGAATTTCTGGTGTGCATGCAAGCGCGGCCCGATGGTTCCGGGACTGGAAGATTGAGAAGCAGGTGGACACATTGAACCATAATTATTCTGCAGCATAGCAGTCTTTTGTTCAGACATTGGGTTGCCAAGCGTAGGATGTGTTTCCACCATGTTAGGAAATTTGATTACGCTGATTGATTTTGCAGAGCTGTCACGATGGTGCAATTCCCCAGGGACGCGATGTTACCGGTGGAAATGTTCCATTGGGCAATTTATTGGTTTCCACCACGCAGAGTTCTTGTAAGCATCGTTGAATTATGCCTGGTGAATTTGCATTTGAAGCTGAACGTTGGTTTTGGCAAATTGTAGCTTCTGTGAGTAGGTGTCTTCTCGCCTCGGTCTCGTTGCAAAGTCTTCGACATTCCGCAGAACCCATCTTGCAAAGTGTCCGACCATCCCGCGGAACCCAGGCAACATAACAACCTTAAATGACACGGTTTGTTTTGGAAAGTATGTCTTGGTCTTTCAAGGGTCTGCAAAGAAAAATTATTCATCAAGTTGGCGGCGCAGCGCTACATATCGCCCCTACTGTATTGTAGTGCGCAGTATTGTAATGTAGCACAAAACACGATTGCATTGCACTTGTAACACAACTATAGCCTGACAGACTTCTACATCTTAACTAATACAAGCGTATAATGGCACGTAGTGGTGCGACATAACCTTTCAAGATCTTGTTGAAACTTTCAAATCAAGAAATCCCTAACTTCATCATATCAATATGTCATTGAAAGCCCCCCCGCTGTTCAGGACAACGTACCTTTCAGGAATTGGGCTCTCAGGGAGGACCCGGCCCGTACGCGGACGGGGTTCATTTAGACGGGGATAGATCCGTTTCGGAGCGTTCCAGAACGGTGTCAGAGTGTTCCGAAGACCTTGAGGAGGCCGCGGCGCCCGAGGCATCCTCCAGAGCCGCCGGATGTCAGAGATTCACGTTTTTTCTGCACCAGATTCTATATTCGTCCCGGTTTCGTCCTCGTCACCTCCGCCCAGGGCGCTGTCAACACCGCTCTCATGTGGACACCCTCTCGGGCAGCAGGTGGAGCTCTCCTTGGGGGCGCGAAGCGTGTGAGGGGAGTATGCCGAGATGGGCGGGCAGCAACTTGTAGACGCACCCCCCTGGGGCCACAGGTGGAGTCACGAAGCGTGTGAGGGGTGTGCCGGGATGGAGGGGGGCTCAGGGGGACCAGCACGTGCACGCATTAATTGGGGCCTAAGGTGGAGCTCCCGATACCCATTGGCCGTTGAAAGCATGCTTTTTTGGGGGGAAATCCCAGGTTCCAGTCCACTTTAAGCGCCTTCCTACTTCAATGATCGAGTGGCTTCCCCTCTCCCTCCTCAGGTGGCGGGCGGAGACCCAATCTACTTCAACGCTGTCCTAGTTCATGTTTCTACCTGCTTCTTCCGACCGATGGGTAGGGGCAAAACGCGTGCCAAGGGGCGTGCCGAAGTGGTTGGGGATCCGGACGCGGACGCACCACGGGGGGCCTCAGGTGGAGCTCGCGATGGGCTCACGGATCCCGGCACGGCGTGCTGGATTTAGCGGGGAGCCACATGTGGACGCATTTTTTTGAGCCTCAGGTGGAGCTCCTTGTTGGGCCACGAAGCATGCAATGGGTGTGCCAGGATTGGCGGGAGCCGAATGTGGACGCAACAAACAGATGGGGCCTTAGGCGGGCCTCCCTATGGTATGGGTCCACGCAGCGTTTGAGGGGTGTGCCGAATGTGGCTGAGAGCCACATGAGGACGCACCCTCTGGGGTCTTGGGTGGAGCTCCCTACTTGGCCACGGTGCTTGCGAGAAGTGGGCATCGGCAGTGGCAAGCATGGGAGGAATATGGGGAGGAGGAGTAGGAGGAAGAAGAAGGGTCGCGGCGCCGCGGATTCAAATCGAACAGTCCACAGGATGGGGGGGGAACAATTGCGAATACGGTGTGGCTCGTCGCTTTGGTCGTTCTGGGAGCCTCAAAGGATGGGTTATTCGGCCATCTTGGCCGTTGCTGAAGTCCATTGGCTAGCTGTAGTCATCCTGGGTTGTCGTGCAGCAGCACTGGAGCTCTTTGAGTCCGTACGAGGGCCCATCTTGGGACCCGCGGGCTCGATACGCATTGGCCTGGCCCTCTTTAGCGCTCTTGGGTCGGTTTCACTCGGATACGAGCATCTATCGTTACAGCACCAGTTTTTTGTGTGGAGAGTCTAACCTGCTTCCAATGTCACGCAGGCGGACCGATGGGTGGGAGGTTCAGGATGCCAGCTACAGCGCGAGCGCAGCTAGCTTGCCTCCTCCCCCTTCTTTGGCAAAAGAACTTGCCTCGCCCGAGTGCCTCGAGGGTCTCGCCCAGCGAGGAGGAGGAGGAGGCATGGAGGAGGAGGAGGAGGAGGAGGAGAAGGAAGAAGAACAAGAAGCAGAAGAAAACGAATCATCAGGGGGAAGTGACGGGATTAAGGAGGGACAGGTGGAGGATAAGGATGAGGAGGGGAGGATTGGGGTAGAAAGGAGGAGGTGGATGAAGAGGGCGAAGAGGAGGAGGACGACCAGGAGAAGAGGCGAAGAACACACGTGAGGGGAAGGCTGAGCAGGAGGGGGAGGAGGAGGAGGAGGAGGAGGAGGAGGAGGAACCTGTGGATATGATGAGGAGCGGCGGGGACAAGTTGATGCCTCGGGAACCCGCCTGGTCGCCCCAGCGACACCTTCGCCGCGCCTCCCGCTCCCGCCCTTTCAGGGGGAGCCCGCTGCTGCTGGGCTTCGTGGCGAGCCCCGCGGTGGGCGCGGGAATTCCGAAACCGTCGTCGTGGTCTCGGCTGCTGTGGTCGTGGTTGGCGTTGTCGTGGTTGTGGTTGTGGTCGTCGTCGACCTCGTCCTCGTCCTCGTCCTGGTCGTCCTCGTCGTCCTCCAGGTGCCCCAGGTGTTCCCGCGGAGCAATGAAGGGGAGGGAGAGAAATGGGAACACAGGGAGCAGTTGCAGGAGGATGCGGCTGAGCAAGGGATGGGCAAAAAGGCAAGCGGCGAAGGGAGATATGAGGAGGAGATGGAGGAGGAAGTCTCGGTAACCAGTTTGGCTCAAGTCCTGACGCATTGCTCAAGGACTCTATCACCTGGCAGTTGCGATGGGTCAATTTGCCCAACAACCTCCCTTTCAATCGCTACTGTCGTTCCGCCTGCCGATGTGTTGTGCCAGCGTGTGCGCGCGTTTCTGCTCAAGTCCGTTGTCAGGAAAAGGGGTGCGCGCGCCCCTCCCTGAGCGCGCGCGGGTCATCAGTCCACCCCCACATCTACTGAACGAAACGATATAGCCATGACGCATGACTGCATGAAGGCACTCCCCGTCATCAATCTTCTAGAGGAAAAATAGCCTTGAGCTAGGAGGCCAGAACCAGGACAACGACCGAACGTCATAATCGAAATGGCATGTCGCAAATAACTGGTTAACCACCGACATAATGACGGATGGCCAGAACTTATGACGAGGGTCAGGAAACACGCCATGGCAGTTGCAACGTCCAGACACGGGGGCAATCTCATGACGACGAATTCCACACGTTGTTCCTCCCAGCCCGCTTGGATATCAATTCTGGGCGCGTAACGGGGGTAGTACCAGCCCGAGATGCACGATTATGTTTGGAACTCCGCCGTTCATCGGTACGCTTCATTCCGAGGCATGACCTGTCACCAGCGACAATGGAGATGCGGCAAAGGAGCTAACCGAACTCATTCATCTCTACGTTTGGAACATGGTATTGTTATCGATCAGGGATGGAAATGTCCCATGCGGGGGGGTTGGACGGAAATGCCTCCCATGCCCCCGCGTCGAACGCCGACGGCTCTGCTTGCGGCGCTGGCAGAGCACCAGGGATAGAGGGCAGAAAATCCATCCCGATAGGAACCACCCCGACACTCGAAGCCGCTTAGTAAACGCACCCAAAAAATAATCAAACGGGGCAGGGCTGTTTAGTAAACGCCCAGGGCCGTTCAGTAAACGCCAATTGTCCGGTCCTGGTGGTTTTTCTTCCCTTGAACGGAACGGCTTCGGATTTGAGGTCAAAAGGCCTCTTTTGGATGAGCCGCATCGACGGATCGATCCCCTGCAGTTTTCTGGAAAAGCGCGCGCTCGCGGCCCTGTCCGGCGCCCCAGGGATGCTGGCCAACGAACCCGACGCGATGGGCAATGCTGCCGCGAGGGGTCGGGCCCAAGAAAACGACAGCGACGGGTGGTGGACCACCGAGCACTATAGGAAGTTGTTCGTTTCTTTGGGACGGACCCTGGGGGCGCTGGCGCCCCCCTGATGGGCCAGAGCTCACTGGGGGGCGGGCGCCGCATATCCATGACGTGCGCCAGTCGCCCCGGTGCATTTCGCCGGGCACAGGAGAGCAGTCCCAACGTGCTGGCCAGGGCATCGTCTCGCCCGGCGAATCTTTGCAGGGGCTGGCAGCACCATTTTCGAACGCGCCATGGCCTTCATAACGAAGGGTAGCGGGGGTTGGGCCCTGCCCCCCCCCCAGGTCTGGCGATCAAGCGTGGCTCGGCGGAGTTTGTCGGATAAGGGAGTTGGCGACAACTCGCCAACGTGGCGCGACCGCGCTGTCCAGGACCGAGCAGATCTTTCGAGAGCAAAACTTTGATGAGGCCATCGCGTCGGGCCCCAATGTGGCATTCGGCCCCAGGTTCAAGATGGCATCGAGCAACGAGATTACTTCCCTGTCGCCCCATCAGTGCGGAATCAGGACCCAGGGGAGCGACTCCAATGAAGCGTCGTGGCGAAAGCCTGTCAAATATTGATGGCTGGCTGTGGAGCTTTTCGCACCGCTCGACGGCGTGATGAGTGGGTATGAGGCAGCAGGGAACAATCTGTGGATTGCACAAGAGATAACAAGTGGAACGTGCTTGGCTCGAAGACAAGATGCACGCGCAATTGCCTGACCGGACGGCTGGGGGGGCGTAGGATTTCAGACCAGCGCCCGGCCTCCCGCGCCCGGCAAAGCAACGCCGCTCGATGCAGGGCTACCGAGCTACCGACGCAGGGCGGCAAGGCTCGCCCTGCGACGGAAACTGTTTTGCTTGCGCTGCGGCGGCCCCGGTGCGTTTCATTTCGCCTTGGAGAGTGGGTGCACGCTGGACTCGACGCGGTCGGGCCAAGGCGACGACCGCGCGAGCGCGAAGTGCGATCGCGCGGGAGTTCACGGCGCCCATGTGAGAGACGAGTGCAGCAGGTGCAGAGAGTTCTACGCCGAGGCACGAGTTGTTCCTGGATGGGCGTTGGTCCGCAATGCCGATGGAATTCTGCGCCCTTCCCGCCGAGGCCCCGGGTCTGGCCTCGGGCTGCCAGGGGGGCCGGCGATGGCTAGAGCGCGTGGGGCCCGCCGCATCATTGGCATTGCCCGGGGTGATTGCTGCCCCGGAGAGGTCGGGGCGCTGCGCGCGGACCCCCGTGCGAGCGCGGCCGGGCGGCCCGGGGGCCGTCGAGCGCCTTGTGAGCGAGGTGGGCTTTGAGGTCGCGTGCGAGACGAAAAAGACGGGACATGGTGCGCATCGATGCGGAGCATAGAACATGGGACCAGATGCGTTCTGCGCTTTGTTCGCCCGCCCCGATCGGCGCTTTCTGATTTGGTTATTCCGGCCGCCCTCGGGCCTGGTGCGGGCGGCCGCGCTGGGGGGCGCAGCGATGGGGCGTTTTGTGTGTGCGTGTGTTTTTGTTGTTCTGCGGCTGCAGAATGCCTCTGGCCAGCTGACAGAGTGCGCGTCGGGTTTTAGCGCCGTGGGCGAAGGGCCGAAGTGCCTCGCTGCGGCAGCGGCGCTGGGGCATCTGTGCGCCTCTTTGGATGGGTTGTCGCAGCCGAGGCAAGGATAGGGGGTTCCAAGCATGAAAGCGGGAGGCTCTGCGCGCAGATGATCACAGCGCAGGAAGCTGGCGTTCCCCGAGTGGCGCACGGAATGGGCAGGGGGATGGCTGCCCCGGAGGAAAAGGTGCAAACGCGCGCCGAGGTGCGATGGGGAAATCGCGACGCGCCGCTCGCGTCGCAGACGATCGCTGCACAGCGACTCGACGAGGCCGACGAGTCAGATGTGCCCAATCTTTAGCCGCGAAAAGGGGGGCGCGCGCGAAATCTGTTCCACGTGAAAAACGGGGGTCTGCCACGATTGCGCAAGTGCCCCCCGCTGGCCGCGCGTCGTTTCCCATTGGTCCCGCGGCAGTTGGCCGCCTCGCTGTGGCGCGTCTGCGCGCGGCGCGCCAGGTCTCTTGAAGGGCCCGGCAGTGAGCGGCTCAATTGTCGCGCAGACACAGGGCGGGCGCTGGCCGAACGCATGTGCATTCTTGAGCGAGCGCGGAATTGCGGTCGCGCGAGCGCGAAACCAATCTCGCGCGAACACGGCAGCAATGCCGCGTGAACGCGACACGAGGCACGAAATGCATGCGAAATACAGCGCGAAAGTATTCTGCTCTGCGCGAGCTCCAGCGCGGAATGCGCCGCGAAATTAGCCGCGCGAAAGTGCCGCAAGAAGGTCCCGGGCGGCTTCCGGTCAATGGGGGCGCTCGCAGGCGCTGCAGGCCGATTGCGAATGAGTCCGAGGAATCCGTCTATGGGCGCCGTTTCGCGCGGCCAGTCTGGGCGGCAGATCTGGGGTCACTTCGCGCGGAGAAGTGGTAGCGCGGGCAATTCCATGCCCCTGCGTCGTTTTCCTGGCCGGCCATGCTCGTCGGCTGCCGCTGGCGAGCCAGGTTTCGTTTGCCCTTTGGCCGGGGCGCGGCGCTGCGCGCGCCGGTGATCGCAGCGCCGCAGGTTCCCGTGCATGTGACTATGATGAAGACGGGGTGTGGTCCAGCGTCCACGCCGTCGGGCGGGGCGCCAAGGGCGGTCGTCGCCGCGCCGCGCGGACGTCGGCGTTGTTTCGCGGCATCCATTATGGTTCGACCCAGGATCGAAAATGAGCATGTCGGGCGCAAAAGCGGCCATGCTCGAGTCCGGCAAGAATTCGCTCGAGGCGACCAGGATGGGGTCATTTCGAAAGAGCAGACCTTGTCTGAACGTCAATGGCGCTTGAGAAGGGAGCGCACCATGCGACGCGCGCGGCGCATCCCCAATCGCACGCAGTTGCCGCGACAACAGTCAGGAGGACACGTACGTTGCTCGGGTTTGAGTCCATCCAAGGCACGGGGGCCATCTCACCGTTCGAGCGGGGCAAGGAATTGCTGACGATGCCCTGCAACCAGCCACGCATGCTTTGTTTTGGGAAGGGGGAGAGTTGTGGTAATTGAGAAGTCGTTTCTGGGCGAATGGATTGCGCGGCTACGGGCCAACGCCAGCGCGGGAATAATCCGGGCATCTTCTATTTCGATCACGATCGAAAGCGCGACGGCAGAAGCACATGAGAACATGTGCCTTTCTGTGGCGCAGCAGCTCGACGAAAACTACCAGTGCAACGGCGGGGGGGGCCATTGCCACGCTGACCAGAGGCGCCAGGCAGCTGGCCCAGCCGCGCGCAGCACCCCAGCCACGCGCGGACGCGCGCGTGCCACGAGGCTGGAGACGGCCAAACCCATGGAAGAGACAGGCGTGGAAGAGCCGGGGGATGCATCTGCCTTGGTGGAAGAGGTCAAGATCTCCATGAAGGGCGCGTTCGATTACAAGATCAACCGGCTGGGAACCCAGGAGAGCGGCTCTGTGCACCACCCCATGGTATAACCAAAATAGGGTGGGCAGGACGACGCATGGCCTGCGCCTGTCCCGTTGGCGCGGGGGATCTCGGGAAGAGCGGACTCGCGCC